AGACCGGTATTTCCCACTGTCTCTCAGTCCAGAGACCAGTATTTCCCACTGTCTACCAGTCCAGAGACCAGTATTTCCCACTGTCTCCCGGTCCAGAAACCAGTGCTTCCCACTGTCTCTCTGTCCAGAGACTAGTGGAGACCTGAAGATGGTGAGAAATACTGGACTCTGGACCAGCAGACAGTGTGAAACACTGTTCTCTGGAGACAGTGGAAGACACTAGCCTAAGGACCCGGAGATACTGGGAAACACTTGCCTCAGGACCAGGCGATAGTTGGAAACAATGGTCACTGGACCAGGAGACACTGGGAGACAGTGGGAAGTACATGTTTCTGGACCAGAAGACAGTGGGAAACACTGGCCTCAGGACCAGGAAATACTGGGAAACACTGGGGAAAACTAGTGTCTGGACCTGGAGACACAAGAAGACAGTGTGAAACACTGGTCTATGGACAAGGAGATAGTTAGAAACACTGGTCTTTGGACAATTAGACACTGGGAAATAGGGGTAAACACTGGGCTCTGGACTGTGAGACACACTATTGTCTGGACCAGGAGACACAGGCAAACTCCAGTGTTTGGACAAAGATACCAGTGTCTCCCCATGTCTCCCTGTCCAAAGACGCCATCTCCCAGTTAAGGGAACAGTGTCCTTGTCTAAAGACCAGTGTTTGTCACTGTATCCTGGTCCAGAGACAAGTCTTTTCCACTGTTTTCTAGTGTCTCCTGGTCCAGAGAATAGTTTTTCCCATTGTCAGCAACAGTGGCGTCGGGTGCAGGAGTTTGCCCTGCAATCGGAGGGTTGTTGGTTCGAGCTCTGGCTTTCAGTGTTGTTGTGTTGTTGTTGAAGACACGTCACCTGCATTGCCTACTGATTTTGGTCAGAGGGCCCTGTGGCACCAGTGTGCGGCAGCCTCGCTGCAATCAGTGAGTCCTAGGGCAGCTGTGGCTTCAAGGTAGATTGCCACCATCAGTGTTTGAGTGTGTGTGTGAATGGATGAATGACTGAATGTAGTGTAAAACACTTTGGTCAAGTCCCCTGACTTGAAAAAGCACTATATAAGTACAGGTTATGTATCATTGCCTCAAGTGTTCCTCACTAACTTCCAGTTTCTCTGGGATATTCAATGCATTGTTTCATCAGACCTTTCATTTGTTCAATTATTTTCTTTTAGTTTAGTTTAATCAAATTAAAGTTTCAAACAATTAAAATTACAAAAGCTAAAACTGTTCTTTACAAACACTTATCGTTTAAGCACCAGTATCTCCTCTATCTCTGTGTTTAGATATTAACCTTGTGATTTCTCTTACAGCTCCCACTCCTGAAGAATGGGTGACTGGAGTGCTTTGGGTCGTCTTCTGGACAAGGTTCAGGCCTACTCTACTGCTGGGGGGAAGGTCTGGCTGTCGGTTCTCTTCATCTTCAGGATCCTGGTGTTGGGTACTGCAGTGGAATCAGCGTGGGGAGATGAACAGTCTGCCTTTAAATGTAACACCCAGCAGCCTGGGTGTGAAAATGTCTGCTATGACAAATCCTTTCCCATCTCTCATGTCCGTTTTTGGGTCCTCCAGATAATTTTTGTCTCCACACCCACGCTCCTGTACCTGGCTCATGTTTTTTACCTCCACAGGAAGGAACAGAAACTTAACAGAAAGGAGGAGGAACTGAAAGCAGTGCAAAACGATGGTGGTGATGTTGACATCCCGCTGAAGAGAATAGAGATGAAGAAGATGAAATATGGCATAGCGGAGCATGGCAAAGTGAAGATGAAGGGGGCCTTACTGAGAACCTACATTGTTAGCATCTTTTTCAAGTCCTTGTTTGAGGTTGGTTTCCTGGTGATCCAGTGGTACATGTACGGCTTCACATTGTCTGCAGTCTACACGTGTGAGAGGTCACCATGCCCACACAGGGTGGACTGCTTCCTGTCTCGTCCAACTGAGAAGACCGTCTTCATCATTTTCATGCTGGTTGTCTCTCTGGTTTCTCTCTTGCTTAACATCATTGAGCTTTTCTACGTATTCTTTAAGAGAATTAAAGACCGTGTAAAGGGAAAGCAACCACCCACCCTCTACGCCAGTGGAGGGACTCTGAGCCCCACCCCTAAAGAGCTGTCCACATCCAAGTATGCTTACTACAACGGCTGCTCTTCCCCAACTGCTCCCCTCTCACCATTGTCCCCCCCAGGTTACAAGCTGGCCACCGGGGAGCGAGGAACCGGGTCATGCAGAAATTATAACAAACAGGCCAATGAGCAGAACTGGGCAAATTACTCTACGGAGCAGAACCGTTTGGGCCAAAATGGTGCAGGGAGCACGATTTCAAACTCCCATGTTCAAGCCTTTGACTTTCCTGAAGATACACATGAGCAAAAGAAACTCCCCTCATCAGCTGGACATGACCTGCAGCCTCTGGCTCTCATTGATGCCCGGCCTTGTAGCCGGGCTAGTAGCAGGATGAGCAGAGCGAGGCCAGATGACCTGGATGTGTAAGCCTTGGCCACTCCTTCCATGTCTGTCCAACTGTCAAGGTTCCTCTATGCAGGCAGAAGATCAGGCAAGGATTGATAGCATGTTCCTCTAAACTGGGACTAACCTCAGTGGCAGTCCTTAGAGTAGACACTCCTGAGAAATAATAAACTTCATTAAAACTGAAATGTCTTCTAACCCTTTTTAAAGGTACAGGTTGCATATAATTAATGCTGTAACTTCCAAAAATGTTAAAAGAGTAAAAAAACAAACCACTGGACTTTGTTTCCAAGTTTAAAAATGTTTCGCTTCCCATCTAGGAAGCTTTTTCAATTCAAAATTCCTAGATTAGAGTTGAGTAAATCTGGAAGCTTTATAGAGTTGTAAAGGCTTAGAAACTGAAAAAAACACATCCATCCCTTGGTAATGCAGAGTCGTTGAAGTCGTTGTTGGTCTGCTACAACCATTCACACATGGACTATTGGATGGCATCAAAAAGGTCAGGTAGTTCAACAAGGGAATAGTAACCTAGAACAGTTACTGGTTAATTGAAATATAACAATTCAGAACCCTGGAACTCTATTTGTCTGGGTTTGGATCGGTTCTGATTCAGGTAAGGACACGGCTAATGGAGAATGAGCAGATAGCTGGTAGGAATGACAGGTTGCTGAAAGGAACCTCATTTTCATGTCCTCCTGCCATATCATCTGCTATTATTTGCAGCCCCTGTCAATTTGTCATCTATAGTCCAACAACAAGACGGTCCTCTATAGTCTGACCTTTAAGTTGTCCTCTATAGTCCGACCGTCATGTTGTCCTCTATAGCCCCACCGCCATGTTGTCCTCTATAACTGGACCATCATGTTGTCCTCTACAAACTGACCATCCTGTTGTCCTCAATAACCTGACCGTCATGTTGTCCTCTATAGTCCGACCATCCTGTTGTCCTCTATAGTCCGACCATCATGTTGTCCTCTATAGTCCAACCATCATGTCCTCTATAACCTGACAGTCATGTTGTCCTCTATAACCTGACCGTCATGTTGTCCTCTATAACCGTACCATCATGTTGTCCTCTATAACCGTACCATCATGTTGTCCTCTACAAACTGACCATCCTGTTGTCCTCTATAATGTGACCGTCATGTTGTCCTCAATCGTCCGACCATCATGTTGTCCTCTATAGTGCAACCGTCATGTTGTCCTCAATCGTCCGACCATCATGTTGTCCTCTATAGTGCNGTTGTCCTCAATCGTCCGACCATCATGTTGTCCTCTATAGTGCAACCGTCATGTTGTCCTCAATCGTCCGACCATCATGTTGTCCTCTATAGTGCGACCGTCATGTTGTCCTCTATAATGCGACTCCAATGGCTTCTGCATTAGGAACTGAGCTTTCAGTCCAGTGTTTTTGTTTTTGTTTTGATTGTTGTAGAGATGTGCTGTTCTGGTTCTGGAGGAAAGACAAACCTCTACCTGTCCCTGTCTCATCTTCCCACATGTTTTTATTTTCTAATCTTTCTTGGTTACTGCAGCAGACTGATCTTCCACCACCTGTTGTTTTTTTTTTTTCTCTATTACTACAGTTGGTTATTTAATGAACAGCATCCTTGGCTTAGATACTTGAGTGAATGTTTTATTTTTCGTTTATTTAACTCATTGCTGCTTGAGGAATAGATATGTATAGTACTGTAAATCAAGCTGTCACAGAAAAATGTGAATTATGTTGAAGCCTGGTCATAGATCTGGACTAATGTTTAGTCTTTACCTTCTATCCAAATCTGTTTAGGAAAACTAGATGAAACCTTATTTGGGGACTTAATTGCAATTTAGTCTAATTTTGTGTCCGTTTTATTTTTTTCTTGGTACAGACGAAGATCTTTACAGCTACAGATAATTTGCACTGAGATCTTGCTGTTAAAAGATGTAACTTGATGCAACTTGCATATGGTGTGTTTTCTGATAAATATGTTACTAATTTATTTTAATAACACAAAGCTAAGCTGTGGTCGGTATAACAGAAAGTGACCATTTTTAACAAATCGGTTTGTGATCTTTCTTCCTCTTTGTTCCATAAATCAGAAGCAAACATTTGCAGTTTTCTTTCCCAGGGGATCTGTTATTGTAAAAAAGACAGACATTAAAACCAACATATTAACTGCCTGTGAAATGGAGTCTTACCCAATAAATGTTTTCAGTCCTCATCCATGTTTAAGGTGTTTTATTTCCTGAGATCATCAGTTTGATTTGAAACAATAGAAATTTTCTTTTTTCCATATTCTCAGCAGCTGTCTTGATTTTTTCTTTTTCAGACTTTCATGTCATCAGAATATTAAAGGGTTTTCCAGTTTCCATCAGAAACTATAGCTAGGCTTACTCAATAAATCCATAATGATTTGATTTATTTCCATCATCTCATTCTGAAAGTGAAGCTTCCAGATGAACACTTTAGTTCCTCATCAGAGCAAAATTAAACTTACACTTCAGTGTAATTTCTGGTCTCAGCTTTGTTAGAAATAATAAGATGGGTATCAAAGAAGTCCTTTCACATATAAATGCTGATGTGTTCTGACAGCTTTTAGATGTGCAGCTTTCCCAGTATCTAAAACCAGTGCTTACTAGTCATTCTGCCCATGGACCAGGATCAGCTCTGGGTTCATCCATACATCTGTCATGAGTCCTGCTCCTGGTTCCCACTTTGAAAATGACCATAAACCCAATCTTTATGTAAGTCCGTTACATCAGGCAGTTTTTGTTCCATCACAATAAAACCTTTATCATCTTTTATCTCACTGCCTACTGAGAGGAAAGCTCTGATTAGCCTATTATATCGTCTATTTCAGGCTCTATTGCAGAATCGAGGTATTTATTACAGAAATCCCTCTTTAGAAATATCTTCACCAACACATTGTGCTGGATGACTGAACTCGGCCATCTCCAATTATGTTTGACATCTCCACAGGCCTCAGCTTTTGGCAACGCTCCCCACATACCAGCTGCCACATGTCGTTACTGAGATCTATGGGTCAGAAAAAGTCTTGACCCAAACATGACATGTCTGCACTACCTGCTTTGTCAGACGTTCACCGTGCACGAAGAAGACAACAGGGCTATCTGCTAGAGCTGATTCTTGCCATGCCAAGCATGTTAATGTTCAGAAATTTCTTATATGAAATAACATTTCTTTGGAATATTCTTTAAATGGTGTTTAAATGTAAAACTTTGCTCCTGCTGCTGCTCAGAGTCGATTCTGGATGACCGACTGAGAAAACCAATAACTGAAAGCAATCAGTCCATTTAAAAATATTGATAAAGGTTTTATAAAGGGTACACAGTCATCTACTAACATGCGAAGGTTAATTAATATCATCCATTTTTCAGCCACCAGCAACAACAATTTTCTTACTAGATGCAGAAAAGGCATTTATCGAGCTGACTGGAAATTCTTATTTGCAACATTTAACAAATTCAGGTTTGGACCAAACTTTATTGACGGGGTTAAGATATTATACAGGTCAGCCAATGAGTGTTTTAAGACTAATGATCAAATTTCTCCAAGCTTCAGTCTGACGAGGGGGACCAGACAGGGATGCCCACTTTCTCCATCACTATTTGCCATTTTTATAGAACTATCAGACAAGATAAATGGAAATATTAAGGGAATTCAACCAAAGGACTTTGAGCATAAAATCAGCCTTCATGCTGATGAGGTTTCACTTTTCCTCTAAAACTCACAGGCATCTGAGGCATTGATAAATAAATTATCAGAACTTTCTGACTACCCTGTCAGTTGGTCTAAATCTGCAGCCCTGCCTATTAACTGTTGTTTCTTTTTTACATACTATTTATATTAGATATTTAGACTTAGATTCAACTTAATTTAATTCTGGTTCCAGTAGCTTATATAGAGTACAAAGACTTAATGCAAGATGCCAATAAAGATAAAAATACAACCGAGAATATAAAAAGAGTGCATATAGTACAAAAAAGCATAAAAAAGTTGTAATGTCCTGGAATATGTTTTGACTTTGTTTCTGTCATTGTGTTTTTATCTTTTGTACAGTGACCTTGAGTGTCCAGAAAGGCACCTTTGAAATAAAATGTATTATTATTATTATTATTATTATTATTATTATTATTATTATTATCATCACTAAAGAGTGTCCAGCTCAGAGCAATAGGATCCAGGAATTGAGGCGGACAAACAGATTTCTCAATACATTTATTGGAAACAGCAGTAAGTCAGGAACCTCTGCAAGAGACAACAGGCTAGTGATCACGTCTCTCTGATAGAGGATGATAACGAACATGTGAGTCACTAAGCTGGTCTTATAGTTCAGTCTGAGCCCAGAGGGGTACGTTGGGTCCAGCCGTTTGGCCACCAACACTGAGCAGGGGGTCCCACCCAGAGAGTCACAGATGCTGATGTATCGGTGGTCAGAGGACAGGCAGGAGAACAGAACCGAGCAGAAGAAGGTAGGCAGGATAAGACAAAGCCCATGTTGATAACGTGCTAAGTTAGCAGAGCCCGGAGGTCAGAGATCCAGTGAGATGCTGAGGGAGAATCCATGACAGAGTTGGGCAGTGATTCCAGGTTCAGTACACAGGCAGGCAGAGATCTGGCAGGAGTCTGAGGACAAGTCAAACAAATAGATCAGAACTGGGACAGGCAGGCGCAGAGGGCAAGAGGCAGAACGGGTCAGGATCAGACAATCAGAAACAGAACTCTCATAACTGTCTCCAAAATAATCTGCAGAGTTGTCAAGTACAAATACATTGTTACTGTACTTAAGTACACTTGTTAGGTATCTGTACTCCATTATATATTTTTTCTCCTACTTCTGAAATGAATGCTTAATTTAATATGACATGTAAAAAAAACTCCCCATCAGCATCAGCATATGTGAGGTGGAGATGAGAAATCAGCTTCCTGGTCTGTTGAAGCACCAATAGTTTGGATCCAATCTTTGAAATAAACGGTGTTTGTTTGTTGAAATATATAAGAATTATTCTCCAATTTGTAATAGGGCTTGGTCGTCATGATGTAAGCACTTTGCATCACCGCCATCTTGAGTGCCTCTTTTACCGTACTCCCTCTCAGCCGTGTTTAATCTGATTAATTTCACCTTAACTTGGTTTCAACCCTGGTAAACCGTCGCTGTATTGTGGGCTGTAACAGCGCAACATATGATCG